AATCATGTGGGGTAAATCCGAAATATAAATATTTATTGAGATTAAATTACACAATTCATTTACATCTTACTTTCTAAAAACAAAGTATTGCATAGATAATAAACTTTAACTTATTATAGCATTAATACAAATATAATATGCACCATATATATGAATTAGCAATATAATATTATTCTAAAAATAATAATCTCGTGATTTACAAACATTCTCCTTGGTAGACAAAAATTATAATTCAAAAACCAATCATTTATTCCAATAAGATTCATGTAGTTAAACAAGAAACACATTATTAAAAAAGTATTGATGAATGTGTACCTTTTAAACTTTTTATCATTAAATAATTTGATAAAATGTTATATATCTTTTTTTCATTTTCAAATAAATTTCCTTTGATTTGCTATTTCTTACGCTTTAATGTATCAATGCCTTTTTGTAGAGAACTTCAATTATAAAATCAATGTTATTTTTTCATTGCCTAGACTTAGAATGTAATGGATTTAAATGTCGTCATGCATGTATGAATGCATTTTTTTAATAAAAAAATAGCCGTAGAGTCCTACAGTAACGAAAAAAATTCGCCCCGTTACATTATCGAAAAATTTTCGACCCGCTATATTAGCAAAAAAAAAATCACCCCTACACTAACGGAAAAAATTTCGCCCCCCTTGACTCACAATCCTGGATCCGTCCCTGGTCACACTCTCTCTCAAATAGAAATCTAGAATTAGGTAAGAATGATTTTACTTTGAGTTATTTTCAAGTCCATACCAGACCAAAATAGACTAAATCAGACTGAAATAGATCAGATTAGACTCGACTAGACCAAGTCAAGTTAGATTTCAACAGTTGTAAAATACATAGAGACCAGAAATTATCTAACCAACCAAGAACAAGCAGAATTTGGTATATGCCAAATCCCCTATTAATTTTGGCGAATCCTTACCAAAAATCACTGACAATCTCTTATTTATTTGTAGTGGTATATTTTTAGTAGAAGATATGTACAATTTTAATGCATATATTCATACTATTGATACTCTCTCCGTCCCATTTTAACTGTCTTATTTTCCTTTTTGGGTTGTCCCAAAAAAAGTCTCACATTCCCATTTTGGAATGAAATATGTGGTTCACAACATTTCACTTTACTATACTCAAATCTCAACCAAGCATTCCAGCTCGCTGGATGGGAGGTTACCGTGCCTAGTGAAGTTCTCGGGTTCGAAACCCGCTAGGCACAAATAGGGGAAAGGAGGGAGGTCTTGCTTCCAATGATTCTTCTTACGTTCACGGAATTGCTCAACGACTAAGAAGGGAGAGGATGGTGACCAGACTCGAGTTCGCGTGGTGGGAGGACCCTCTGGATTCAGGGGCAATGGAAGCCATGTACGGTAAGATGACCCTCCTGGATTCAGCTGCAAGGAAGTCCTGCTGGATTCGTCCTGAGGTACCAGTACGACGAAGGCTGACTGTGATCAGATCCGAATTTAACTATCTAGAGGTTTTGAAGGGTAGTCAATAGACTTCAGGATTAGGGGAGCGCAAGCACCGACATCTGGATCATAAAAAAAACTATACTCAAATCTCAACCACAACTTTTACCTTTTCAACAATTTTATTAAACATTGTGCCAAAATCAAAAGAGACAGATAAAATGGGACGGAGGTAGTATATGATATGGTTTCATACGTATAAGTCTAAAAAAATCAAGAGAAAGGGCTAAATAAAACTTTACGGCCGTTTAAAATCTATCACTTAAGCAAGACCCTCTACTTTTTTTAATAGTAAACCAAAACTTTATTAATTTAACAAATCATTGTGAGTAATGTTAACAGTCTGTCATTTTTGTGTTCATATGAAAACCTTAAAAAGTCTCATATATTCTCAACTTTTGAAATGTAATTTTTTGGTTTTGTATTTGATTATGAACTACTAAATGGGTTTCTTTTGAACTTGACTTGTGCGTTGTACAAATCTCTATACTTAATAGAAATACAAATACTTCAGGATCGTTCTTTTAAGGGGTAATTTGAGTTTGCATCTAATTTTATTGTCCAAATTGAACTTTGCACACTGTTTTTAAAAATCTTTGTTTTTGTACCCCAACCCCGTATGAAAAGACAAAAGTGCCCCTCCATTAACAATTTTATTGATCTTCAACATATTCTTGATGGAGGGGCATTTTTGTCTTTTGACACGGGTTGGGGTGCATAAACAAAGATTTTTAAAAACGAGATCAAAGTCCAATTTAAATAATAAAATGTGATACAAACTCAAATTACTCTCCTATTCTGTAATCTTTTGTTTAATCTTTCTTCTTCTTTCCATTTCTTTCCTGCCTTCAGTAATCTTCTTTCCATCCGTCCATTTCATTCCTGCCTTCTATAATCTTATTTCCAGATTTCTATTTCTTTCCTTATTATAGCACCGATCTCTTTCCGCTCAGAAATCCGAAAGCTTCATCTCCAGCCGACGACTGTACGACATCTTCGGCTCCATTCTCAAGCCCCTCTACTTAAAAATTACTAATTTTATCCTTCAAAACTTTACCAATTTTGAATAGCATAAGAAGTAATAAAGTAAAAATTGTATGGTTAAGATTTGTGTATTTTTTATGGAAGATTTGTGCATAGAAAATAGAAATAATAGAGTGAAACATCATATAAGTCCGGTTAGTTGGAATTGAACAAGCTATGAATCAATATATATATATAAAAGAGAAACTTTTTAAGAGCATACAAAGCGCCACGTCATCCTGCCATGTCATTATATATTTCAATTATTTAGTTATTTTTATACCTTCTATTTTTATTAGCTAGATTCTATTTTTGATTGTATGTTGATATGGAAATAAAATCCTTAGAAATCCACCTTAACTAATTTGGTAACTTTTTCAAAACTCATTACGTATTTGATAAGTATTAAATTCTGTAATTGGAACCACAACAATCAATAAGCAAATTTTAAGCATGGACTCACGGAGTAACAATCATTTAATTATTTTAATACTTGTTTATTTATTTATTACATTCTATTAAAGAGATGAAGTATTCGTTTTTTTGCCCACTTAACAGATAAATCAGCCAAATTGCTATTAATTTTGTCTTCAAAGTAATTTGATAAAATAAAAAATGTAATAATAGTGGCCCATTTCCTAAAATGTAATAATTTATTTTTCTAAACTCAATGTTGAGATAATGATTAAAATTCTTTTTTTGAAAGAGATAATGATTAAAATTATAAGCCCCAGATTTGCAATTGTGTTAATACTATGCATTTTGCTCCATCTTCATACAATTCTTTCTTAATTATTAAAATAATGATAAAAAATTATAACCACCATATAATTGAAATTAAAAAACGAAATTAAAACTATTAATAAAGTTGAATGAGGAATAGTAGAAGAAGAAAAACTTCAAGTGCATAACAAAGTAATTTGGAAGCGTGAGATTATGAATTCCTTAAAATCTGGTCCATAACAATTACTCCGTATATTTACGTAAGATTGTGAATTCTTTATGTACAAGATCAATTTAATTATTTTTCATATAATCTTTACTTGACTTCACAAATAGAATATATTTTGCATTTTTTCCATGATTCAGGAGATTCCACTCATTCAGCCCATTCAACCAGAATTTAATCAATTTCAGTAAAATAAGTTAATTCGATTTATTTTAGTATTATCAAACAGGCTCTATATTAGACTAAGTTTATTTTTCTTTTAAATCAATTACATATAATCCCACAGAAATCAAATTTCAAATTAGCTAAATTACATACTGTCCGTGCATCGCACGGGCTTGAAAGCTAGTTTGAAATAATAGAAAAACTTATTAGAATTTTTCGAAAATTAATAACAAACCATAACCGTGTAGTTTGCGAGTTTTTAAAATCGAGTTTGTATATGTAATACTACGTACTGCGTATCTATCTTCACGATCCACGTATCTGATACTGATACTCATCGATACACGTCTTGTAAGTATTGAGTCCGTATCCGTAATTTAATAAAAGTATTGGACACATTTCTTAAAATATAAATACTTTTGATGCATGTATCTGTGAACCGATACGCTTATCTAACCCTATAACATTGATTTAATATACGACATGAAAAAAATCTAGTAGCCGCTCAAGCGACCACAAGATGTAAAACATTGGTAAAGATGATTTCGGTGGTATGGAAAACATTGAAATACTATAATTTGCCAACTTTTGAAATTGAAATCAACCTTGTTAAAAGACTTAGATGTGTAAATGCAAATAGCGAATCAAAAATATTATTGAATTTAAATCGAAATATGAGTACTTTAGTCTTTTAGTCTAATCTTTAAAATTTTATTATAATTATTACTTTTTGGCACTATTATTATTTTATTTACGAACCTCTTATTTATACTCCTTCCATCCCGTAAAATTTTTCCAACTTTTCTTTTTGCGCCGTTCCAAAAGATTCTTCTTATTTACCATTTTTGGAAAATTTGTGCAGCTCACATTCATTATACATTTTTCTTACACAACTACAACCATACATTTCCACTTTCTTCTCACTCTCTTAATATGTGTGCAAAGTCAATGTGGGAAGTTTATTTGGGACAGAGAAAGTATATGTTTGGAAATTATAGTCTATATTATATTATTATTTATAAATATACGTTCGTATCCATATTCTGTAATTTTTTAAGTTGACGTATCCCTACTAATAATTACGTATTGACATACCGGTTTATTTTTAAGTTGACGTACCCCTACTAATAATTAAAATATCAACAATGCTTGTTGTACACACTCTTATACCCACCTTATATCCACCGTGTTTGTGAAGGTTTTTTTTGTCTGTGAACCCGATTCACAGACAATATTTTGTTTGTGTAAAATATTTTCTGTGAGCCAGGATTCACAGACAAAAAAAAAACTTCACAAACATAGGTGGATACAAATGTGGGTATAAAAGTGGGTACAAAGATCATTTATGTTAAAATATATATTCGAATAAGAATGGGGTTGATTTAACACCTGCTCGAGAGGAATGGTGTGTCCGTATATAAATAGTCAATCGGTGGAATCATTAGAAGTTAAATAGACAGAGGGAGGGAATGTTTAAATTAAAAAGTATGAACACTATCTTCTTCCTGTCCCTCGCTGTTTTCTCACTGGGGATAGCGAAAGGGCTCCCAGAACAGGGACCAACCCTTCAAATCACCCATGCTTACAGCTCCAGCTCCAGGCCGTCCGGATCATGGGCAGAGACCCTGCGCCAAATGCAGACCGACGACGAGGCGCGGCTGAAGTACTTGGCGAGCCTCACCGCCGGCAGATCCGATGTTCCGGTAGCCAACGCCCGGCAGATTACCCAGAGCCAGACCTACATTGTTAAGGCCAAGATTGGGACGCCGCCCCAGACATTGCTGATGGCTGTGGACACTAGCACTGATGCTGCTTGGGTTCCATGCTCTGGCTGCGCCGGTTGCCCCACCTCCGCCGCCGGCGTCTTCTTTAATCCCTCCAATTCAACCAGTCTAAAAAGTCTTGGCTGTGACGCTCTTCAATGCCGTCAGGTTTGTCACAACCAGTCTCGGGTTGTCCCACATAAATTACACAATTTTTTCATTAAAAGGATCCATCCCAGATCAGACCAGATTGAACCAAATCGATCTTATCAAACCAAATTTTGACAATTATAAAATAAGGATCAGACATTTATCAGATTAGACCAACTTAGAGTAAACCAAATCAGATCGGCAAATTTCAATTCAAATAAAAACATCGTGTAAAATCGATGTTTTGAAGTGAAGCCGATTCATTTTATTCACTTAATTTGGATATCAATTCATAATTAAATTTTTATTTTGCTTTTGAAACTTTATAATGATTTTAATTTAGTTTGTGAATATGTAAGTTTTAATTAATAAAATTGAATTCTCTGTATAATTTGAGACAGAGGTAGTATGTGTAAATGAAAATATTTTCAAAAGCATTTCTAAACATTTGTTATTTATAAAAAACATTTGTATACAAAATTTATACACATTACGCAAACATTAGAGGTAATTGTCTGTGCACAGAGACCACGTATACACTCCCTAATTGTCTATGTATACAAGCAACTTGTGCGGCATTGTCTGTGTGCACAGATAATTATGATGTTTTTACTTGGGCTGAAATTTTCTCATCTGGTCTTGTCTGGTCTGGTTTAAGGCTAAAAATAGTTCAAATAAAAACATCATTATATACAAATGTGTGCCAAACATATACTACCTCCGCCCCAAATTGATTTACAAATTTGGCTTTTCTTGATCCAACAGTTTAATTTTATTTGCTTAATTAGGATGCTTAATTATATTCTAATTTGGAGTTTGCAACTTTAAAGAGATTTTAATGTAGTCTTTGAATACGTAAATTTTAATTATTAAAAATTAAGTTAATTATCAATAGGGAGGATTGAGTTTTATTATTGATCGACCAAAAAATGTTGACTTTGCAAAACAATTTGGAACAAAGGAAGTATAAAATTTTTGTCTCCAAAAATTAAAAAAAGGTGTCAAGTACCTTGTGATCTGATGACATCACTGTGGCACTCCCAAAGAGGAGGTCACACGTTCGAATCACATCTCAGTTCAAGGATGTTGGCATTAACATTGAGCAGATACTATATAGGTTTAGAAAAAATTTTACAAAAAAAAAGAATTAAAAAAGGTGGTTATTTATACAGTAATTGTGATTAAGAATGTTTTTATACTTTTAGGTGTCAAACCCCACATGCCAATCAAACGTGTGCGGGTTCAATCTCACCACCGGCGGATCCGCCTTGGCAGGTAGCCTGTTGCAAGACAACGTCACCCTCGCCGTCGACGCTATCTCCAACTACACCTTCGGCTGCATCCAGAGAGCCACCGGCAGCGCGGTACCCCCGCAGGGCGTATTGGGCCTCGGACGTGGGCCATTATCACTCTTAAACCAAGCCCAGGACCTTTACAACCGCACATTCTCCTATTGCCTGCCGGCCATCACGACATCCAGCTTCACGGGCTCACTAAGGCTGGGCCCAAGTGCTCAGCCCAAGAACATCAAGTTCACCCAGTTGATGACCAACCCTCGGCGGCCGTCCGTGTACTACGTCAACTTGACCGCAATTTTCGTCGGCGATAAGGACGCCAAAGTTCCTCCGACGGCCCTTGCTTTTGACCCGGTCACCGGCGGGGGGACTGTTATCGATACAGGTATGTAATTAAAGTCTTTGATTTTAGAATAAAGAATACTCGTATAACTCTCACGTATACTCAATAACAATAAGATAAATGGCACCGAAATGATATTTTGATATCTCAAATACGGAGTGTTAAATATAATGAAACAAATCAATATCCTAATACTACATATTGAAAGCTCTTTTGGTAATCTAAGATCGGTTCCAATCTATTGAAATTTATGAAATTTAATTAGAGATACCGAATCTATTGAATTGTAAAAAAAAAATTATATTTTTTAAATTATACGAAGTATTTCGTACACAAAATAATTAAAATATTCTTCTTTCACGATTTCGGTCAATTCTGCTAAAAAGTAACTCTAACCTTACTTATTTTAATAATTGTATAATTTAACTCACGAAATAAAAAGTTTGTATGCTTCGCAAAAAAGTTGATTAGTACTCCGTAATGTTTTAACATATCACTTCAGATTTGACCTAAATTATTTAGCGTAACGATCTAAAAAATGTGTCGCCAAATGAGTTTTATAAGTTTTCTCCAAAAAATGTGCAATTAATTAATTAATTGAAAACACACTTTTAGCATGTTGAGATCCTGATTTGTCAACATGGCACATATATAATGATTTCGTCAACTTGGTAAAACATTTCCTTCAAGAAAAACTTGGCAAAACAATTAAGTAAACTTACCTTTTTTCCCTCGAATTTAAGTAAAGTTAATATTACTCCGTATCATCTAAAACTGTGTTGACCGTAATTTCTAAAATGATACAATTCTTAAACAATGACATGTTAATTCATTTCGATATACTTGAGATATTTATTTACTTCATAAGTTAATTCATAGAGTATAAAATTCTGTAGTTGGAGAATAAAAACGGATCAATGACATGTTATGTACGTGAATAGGTACGACGTACACAAGGCTAGTGACGCCGGCGTACTTGGCCGTAAGGGACGAATACCGGCGGCGGATGGGTAACTCGACGGTGTCTTTGGGAGGGTTTGACACCTGCTACAAGAATGTGGTGACTAAGTTACCAACCCTGACGTTCGTGTTCAACACGATGAACGTGACGCTGCCATCGGAAAACTTCCGTGTCAACAGCTCCACCGGAGGCCTCACCTGCCTGGCCATGGCGGCCACCACCGGGTTCAATGTCATCGGCAGCCTGCAGCAGCAGAACCACCGCGTCCTGTTCGACTTGCCCAATTCCAGGCTAGGGGTTTCTCGAGAGTCCTGCAGTTAGATTTTGGAACTGAATTTCAGGTTACAAATAAAACAGAGTTATTTGTTTTTTAAATAATTAATTAATGTAATTGTTTTGTGGGTTTTTCTTTTATGCCCAAATCTTGATTCCGTACTTGCCTTATATGGCTAGTGATTCTGTTACTGTGTCGGCAATGTCTTCGTCGGTCAATGGCCATTGATGATGAAATATATAGTGAACTCTTACTTACACTATACTTTTCAATAATGGTGTATACTTCTCTGATCTCACAAATATATGAGGATACTAATCATACTATAGCAATGAGGACAGATCGTATCAGGCCGGCCTGACGGGAACCGCCGTTTGGCCGAGGCCATTTGGGGACATTCCCGGTGGAATTTTTTGATGAAATTTTTTGAGCATGTTCTTCATCAAGTCTAGTTTATCCATACCAAATTTAAGCTAAAAATTCAATCGGGAAAGCAGTAAAAAAAATTCCCTACTAAAACTGTGCATTATTTATATATAAACTGCGCAGTTTTAGTAGGGAATTTTTTTGACTGCCTTCTAGATTGAATTTTTATCTGAAATTTGGTATGGATAAATTAGACTTGATGAGGAACATGCTCAAAAAAAATTCATCAAAAAATTACACCGGGAAGGGTCTCTGATGGCCTCGGCCTGACGGCGGTTTCCGTCAGGCCGGCCTGACATGATCGGGACTCCTATAGCAATAATAAACTTAATTGTTGGATATTATTAGCATATCATTAATTAATATTTACGCCCTTCGTCCTTCTAAGATTGTCTCATTTTACCTTTTCAATTTGTCGGATTAAGATTGTCACATATTAAATTTGATAAAGTTTATGTGGCTCTAAAATATTCTTACTTTATTTTTATTATATAAATTCAATATCAATCATATAAATCACCTTTTATTGGTTTGTGTGTCACTTCCTCTTGTCCCATTGTTAGTGGGACGGAGGGAGTAGTACTTAAATTGTTTAACTGCAATATTCTAATTAATTCATGTAGATAAAGTACGTAATTTAATGATACCATAAATTTGCTTATACTTTTAATGTCACATAAACTTGTTAAAGATTTGTTTTCTATATTTATATTTTGTTGTTGTTTTCTTTTTTCTTTTTTTATATTGGCGGTGAGAATCTTGGATATAACACAATAGCTAGAAGCCTAAAAGAGAGATTTTCAATTGATTTAGGTAGAAAACCTCATCAGAAATCGATTTGACTTTAAATGAGCTAATGTTTTACTCAAATTCAATGAAAATGGATGTTCAAACTCACAAAAACAGAGGAATATATGAATGAGCAGGATGAGCAACATCCAACAGGAGCTTCAGTGGCGGTGAAGTTGGCAGCGGCGATGTCGTGATGGTGTGAGGGAAAGTCGTCAGCGGCGATGCACGAAAGAGTCCACGGGGATAAATCCGGTGCGCGAGAACGATAGATTTAATGTGCGAGGGAGAGAATAGTTTATGCAAAGGGAGAACGATGTATCCGATGTGCAACGCAAATTATACCGTGGGATCGGCCCACCGTGCGCATGGTGTGCCGATCCCAAAACGGTAGCGTTTAATTATTAATAAAAAAAGAGACCGAACAATTCGTCGTCTTCTCTGGTCATCTCGTTAAAAAACAGAGCAGTCAAAAATTTACGACTCTTGAATCGCTGGGCTATTTCATCTCTACGCCCATAAATCCGTTTCCTTTCTATACGAAACCTCCATATTGAATTTAAATTTCATAACATTTTAATTTCCGAAGGGTTCTTATTGTCAAAATCCATTGACAAATTTGATTTGTCATTAAATCTAAGCAAATCGGTGGAGTTCCCTTGTCTGCCTTCAAATCGGTGGAGTTTGCTCAAATCAGTCGCTAGCCCCTTCTGTATATCTAGTAGTTTACTTTTTAATGGCTATTCTATTTCCATGAATATTTGGAGATTACTTCTGAAGACTCTCGAACCATCACACTTAAACTAGAAAATAAGCATTTCAGTCATCCATTATATCTTCTTATACACGAGTATATACGTAGTATTAGTATATATATTATTAGAGTTATATCTTCTTATACACGAGTTACATATTTTTATGTGTGAGTTATATCTTATTATGTGCGAGTTACATCTTCATATGTGTGAGTTATGCTTGTAGACAATTTCTATAGTTACATTTGATATAATATGCAGTTACATCTTTTTATGGGCGAATTACATCTTCTTGTGCATAAGTTACTTCTTTCTATGCGCGAGTTATATTTAGACTTCTCTCAACAAATATTTTGCATGTACCTAAGTTAGATTTTTCACCAACGGGAGTTACATTTTCCATAACTTGAGTTACCACAACATAAAGCACTTTTATTGAAACAAAAGAAGCATTTTTTAGAAAAAAAATATTTTTGGCAAAGAAATGATTTATTGGGCAAAATAAGTGATTTTATTCAAATCATTTTATAGCCTTAACATTTAAAATAGAACATATTCATTGTTTAAGGAAGCTCCTCCTGTTGAAACAAAAAATACTCACTTTTTCCCAAAAAAAGAAAAAAGAATTTTTGGCGAAAAAAATGATTTTTTGGGATTAAAAATAAAACATATTCACGATTTACGAAAAGTAATTGTGTAGTTAGACTCTTTTTTTTCATTGTTTGCATTGAAATCAATGTTTTATTTTTTATAGTATGTATTTGGTAAGTTACATTTGGAATGGACTTGAGTTACATTGATCAATAACGTGAGTTACATATCTTTACACGCGAGTTACATCATTCATACTACTGGGACAAAAAAGCAGTTACTGTACACGCGTGTACTGTTCACGCGATTTTTTTTTTTAAATTTGTGCAAAATTACGTCGTTTTAGGTGTGGGAGCACGGTGCTCACCGTGGGGTGTTACCACGGTATACGAACTGGATGGGCAAGGGGGGCAAGAGTCCGTGTAAAACAAAACATGACCCAAGTTTGTAATGCAATTTCCATATGTTTATTAATAGGAGTCAGATGTTCTTAGGATGTTTTTTTTTGGACTGAAATTTGCTGGTATGGTCTGTTTAAGTCTGGTCTGGTCTGGTCTGAACTGGTCTGGTCTGGTAAACGTCTGGTCTCTGTGTATTTTATAACTACGGAAGTCTGGTCTGGTTTGGTCTGGTCTGTTTAAGTATAGTCTGGTCTGATCTGGTCTGTTTAAGTCTGGTCTGGTCTGGTCTGGTCTGGTCTGGGACTGAAAACAGTCCAAAAGAAAACATCCTTAGTCTTATTAGAGGTGAAAAAATAACAATTGGGAAAAAAATGAAAATTTTAATTCCAAAAAATGAGACAAAAAATGGGTATGAGCACTATGGTACCCTTAGGGCCCAACTGATCAATATAGTGACCAACTACAGTTACTCGACCGTTTTACAGTTATCTGACTTGACTAGTTATTGTTATCCAACTTGGCAATTAGAATTACCCGACAAGTCAATTGCACTCACCCTACCCGTCAATTACAGTTATCTGACCCTGCAATTACAATTACCCGATCGGTCAATTACTATCACCCGACCTGCCAATTATAGCTATCCAATTAGACCAGTTAGGGTATGTTTGGTTCAAGGTAATCACCTATGCAGGCCGGAATCTCATGCCTGGAATCTGAAATATCTGTGTTTGGTTCGTAGGTTTATTTTTATGGGGGGAATGTCACATTCCAAAAAAGAAGAGAAAGTAATAGGATGTCCCTCCATCTCAAACCCACTCAACTCTTAGGTTATCTTACATTCCTTGGTGGGAGTGAATTTTATTCCAAAAATACTCATTCTCATTTAACCAAAATGGTTTAAATAGCATCCAAAGTATTTATTTTTTATTTTTCTTAACCCATCCGCATTGGAATTTTTTAAAACAAACTCATCCGTATTGGATTAAGAAATAAAAAATGTATACTTTTGAATTTGATTTATTAAAAATTAATGAATAAATTACATATTTATAACTAAAATAAAGATTGTTTACAAAAATGTGAGTAGTGACTACAGTAGTAATTTAATCATAATAACTTATATTGAACTTTTAAACTTAAATGATCATGATAACTTAATATAAGAGGAGGTGGTGTTATTATTAAGAAAAAAGGAGTTAATGTGGTTGATAGTGAATAATAAATTTAGAATAAAGTAAGAATGATTTAGAAGCTAAGGATCAAACATTAATTTTTTTTCACTAGTGGTTGATAGTGAATTACCTTTAGTAGGAGTAAAATATAACATGCAACTTTTCCTTAAATATGAGTCAATATCTAATATTTCCCAAGTAGGATCAACCATTAATTTTCTACCCCTAATCTAATTAATTAATTGCCCCCAAAGTCCATGAATAATCAGGTCATTCTATTGGTGACATGTGGTCCATTGATTTTTTTATCGATGAAAAACGTAGGCTCCTATCGATGAAGACATTCTTTCTCGGGACCCTGACGATTGTAATAAGGGTATTACGAGAAAATATTTTTAAGGGCATTGAAGTAATTCACCATTTTTGTTGTATAATATATGATTTAACCAAACAAGTTAATGTCACATTCCTTTAGTCTCAACCAAACACAAATGGGTACAAATTGAATACATTCCCATCAATCTAACATACCCAGCAATCTGACATTCTCATGGTAATCTGACATTCCTTGAACTAAACATACCCTTATAGTTATCCAACTTGATCAATTAGAGTTACCGCAATCGACCATTTACAATTACTACGGTCTCATAATGATTAATGCGAAAACCACTTTTGGCCACCGACAAGGCCACCACCTCTTGGCACCGCCGGCACAGCCATCTCCCCTTGTCACCCAAACCCCTCCCTTGTGTCACCCCAGCCCCCAGCCTCACCCATCCCCCTAACCTGCATCACCCCAGCCACTGCCTCACCCAACCTCCATGTGTCACCCCAAACCCATGCACCTTCAGCGCCACCACGCCCTAACAATTACTCCTCTCACGCCCAACCCTGATCCACCCCTTCCCATCCCCAGTGTAGCCCCCAACATTCTCGATAACACCTGGGAAAAAAAGTGAAATTCTCCATCATATGGTTTTGTCAATCGCCCGTCGCCGTCCGGATCAGCGGGCAGTTGAAGAGAAGGTAGATTTAGGGTTTCATTGTTTAGTATTTATGTTAGGGGTAATTTCATCTGTTCAGACCTTTAGTATTAATTAGATTTTTAGTAACTGATAACTTTTAATGACTAAAAAAATAAAAAATAAAAAGGTTGTAGTTATTTGATAAAAAGATGATTGTATGATTTAATTTCGTTTG